AGTTGCTACAACTCCAAGTAGAGGGCTACCTAGCCCAAATCAAACTTCATGCGGGTGAGAAATAAACCTTTCTTGTGTTGGGTCACTGAGATGATGGAGTTTTACTATCGCACCAGTTAGCAATCTTTACCCTGACCGGCACAGAAGTAAGTAAGATACATGCCCCAGTTGGTAAAATGTGTACCTGCTAAATGCAGCCATTCTCTACTCAGAGCAGTGCTACATACAAAAATTAGCTGTTTTCAAGAAAGGTACAAAGTCCGATTATCAAAAGTGGGAAATATATGTCTAGAGTTTAAAAGAAATAAGGAATAATGAACCATATTCATGGAAGATATTACTGAAATCATGGAAATGTTTGGCATCTTCCGTGGAAGAAGGGAATGGAAGCAAAGAAGTCATTGACTTCCAAGGTCACTCCAGGCATAGAAATCTTAGTCTAGAAGAGAGCATGGAGCTGGAAAAGGCTTTTGGGTGCTGGCATGGGTCCCTGAAAGATCACATGGAGGCAAGCCATCCTTCTAAGCCCCTCTATACAGGACTGTAACGTGAAAAAGGAATAAACTTCTCTTGTGTTAAGCCACTGAAATTCATTTGTTACTGCAGCTTAGCCTAGCCTAACCCTAACCCTACCCTCTGCAGTTGCTGCTACTGCACCTTCTTGGCTGCAATAATATAATGCCTGAGCTCCTATCCAGAGATCAAGAAGGGACCAACAACATTACTAGATGCAGAACCACACTGTGCCTGCTAGATTACCACCAGCAAAATGGATTTGTCACATGCTGCTGCCTCTCTCATACGTAATTCAATTCCAAATTCAGTTCACACACTGATACATCTCATTGGATGAATTGAACAAACATTTGTAATGGCAGCTGCAAGGGCTTCTGACAAAGGTGCATTTAACCTTTGGCACTCAGAGGTTGGAACAAATTAGGGGTGAGCTGTGCTTTCTAGGGAGACCAAGCAATTCATTCAGGACTGTTTTACTCTCATATGATTGGCAGAAACCATAAAAGACCTAGAGAAGTGATGTTTCCTTTCCACCATCTTTCTTTTACAATAGCAATGACTATGAACCTTTATTTATATTAACCATCCAGTGTGTTTGTAAACACCCCTGTCATGAAATCCATAAGATTTTTTAAGTCCTAATATTAGACTGTAATTCTATTACCAAAAGACTGTGTGTGCTACAGAAGATTTTTGGAAAGTGGCATTTTATCGCCAGCATCCTCCCTGAATTCATCCACTTTAGTAGTCCCAGAAGGCACATCTATCATGAGCTTTAAATACACCATATGAATCAATACCACCCAATGTAAAGGAAGCGAAACACAAAGACAGTTTATTTCTGTCCTTCATTTGAGGAATAAAATAATGAATAGGGCTCAAAAGATAATGGCTACCTTGCTTATGTCCCAGGAATAAAAATAATCTAGTTTTTCTTTTTAGGAACAGACAATATCAATATTTTGAAAATTAGTAAGATACTTTTTTTCCCTTTCTGAGTACATGATGCTTAAAGTATTTATTTTCCATAGAGTTTGGGGTAAGGTACAATTAGGGTGTTCTGGAAGGAATGTAAAGAGCTTCTGGCATTCAACAATGGGATTTTATAGCAAGACAATAACCTTCAGCCAGGCAACTGTCTTTATAAAGGACTGTATAAATTGCTTTATTTCCCCTTTTAGGACATTAAGGGCCAGGCTTTGTTGGGTGGGTCACAGAGCTTTGTGTAAGGGAAAGCCAGATGAGAAGAGAAAGGGGTGAAACTTACCTCTCCAGTGTCAGAGGGTTGGGTGAAAGAGGGAACTGGGGAGTGGTGGAGGGAGAGAAAGAAAGAAAAGGAAGTGCAGGGAGAAAGGAGGCTGTATTAGGCAAGTGACATTAGCAGCAAGAGCAGAGCAGGAGGGGATCTTGCCCCAGCCCCCCATTTCCCATTTAGGACTCTGGAGAGAGATCATCTCTCTGAGGAATCCCTGCTCCAAGTAGGGCACAGCCAAAAACACTTTGTGAGCAGTGTGTATAATGGCAACAACCACTAGAAATTGGACTCTCCCAAAGTTCACTGTGCAATAGGAAAGACTGGTCTTCCCTGCCACTCCATTGCTTTAGAGCTGAAAGACATACTAGTTACAACTCTGACACACCTTGGCACCATGACCTTGGGCAGGCCACTTCACTCCTCTGAGTCTCTCTCTCCTAGTCTGTCACATGGGGTGATTCAAAGAGTTTAGAGTCTAGAGGGGACCATTGTGAAGAGGAATTGGGAGTGGGGAGAACTCCCAATTCCCAACTTCCCTACTGCAACCAGAGGACCTCCATGTTTGTCCATTGTTTATATAGTCACGTGTCTCTTAACCACGGGGACACAATCTGAGAAACGCACTATTAGGTGATTTCATTGTGTGAATCTCATAGCGTGGTTACGCAAACCTACATGGCATAGCCTGCATGGCTCCTAGGCTACTCCCTGGCACAGCATGCTACTGTACTGAATACTGGGGGCGACTGTAACCCAGTGGCAAGTATTTGTGTATCTAAACATAGAAAAGATACAGTAAAAATATGGCATGATCTTATGGGACCATTGTGTTTGCATCTCATCATTAACCAAAGCATCATTATGTGGCACATGATTATATTGGGCTTCAGCTTAAAATTTTACTTGAGGAATATTTCAAGGCTTTAAACATAGTGGTTAAAAACCGCTGGACTGGGTGGCTTCCAAAGTCTTTCAGGTTTCATCATCTACATTTCTTCCAACCCAGACTTCCTTTGCAGCATCTCCCCCTTTTCACATCTCTCAGTGCCTTCCCATGGTCTTCTGGCCACTCAGAGCCCCTTGGAGTGAGCATTCGTCACAAGTGACATTCAACCTACAGGCACCTGCCAGGGTCTGAATGTCTGTGTCATTCAAAAACTCATAAGTGGAAATCCTAACCCCCAAGGGATGATATTAGCAGGTATGGCCTTTGGGAGGTGATCAGGGCCTTCGTGATTGGGATTAGTGCCCTTGTAAAAGGGACCCAGAGAGATCCCCACCACTTCCCCCATGTGGCAACACAGGGAGAAGGCACCCTCTACAAACCAGAAAGTGGCCCTCACCCGACATGAAATCTGTTAGCACCTTTGACCTTGGACTTTCCCAACTCCAAAACTGTGCAAAAGGAAGTTTTGTTGTTTACAAGCCACTCAGCTTACGGTGTTTTGCTACAGTAGCCTGAATGGACCAAGACAATTTCAGCATCAACTGGCATTACCTCCAGCCCAGCAACAAAGGGGCAATGCCTGTGACAGCTGGGGACGTCACACCCTGGGCCAGCACAGGGCCAGTGCCAAGCCACACCTGTTGTCAAAACAGGAAACTCCCGATGGGGGCTGTCTGCACCGGTTTAAATATGGATGGGGACGGAGGGGAACCCTGGGGATGTATCACAAAGAGAATGGACACTTGTCTTTCCAAGAGAGGTCACCTACCCCTCCTGGCCTTGCCCTCCCTCTTCTAGCTCCCCTCCCCCAAGAGAAAACAACCTTAGCCTTCCTCTAGGGCTGGGGTGTGAGTGTGTTTTGAATAGCAGCCTTGGAATTCACATTCTGGAAGAGATCAGACCCTTTCCTGATTCTTCTCGATGCCTTTGCCCCCAAATGTACTTACCGTCAAAGGATCCTCCATTAGTCCGTCTTTAGTGGAACATAATAAATGATCTATTGGGATGCTAAGGGCTTAATGAAGCTTAATGCTGGGGAGGGTGGAATCATTTGATTCCCCTAGGAAGTTTTCAAATACATCTCCCATAGCACCAAAGATTCCGATATAGCTCTCACACCCCCATTCCCAGTCCACAGGGGATGCGTGCATTTAAAAAAAAAGAGGTTCCAGTGAGTGAGAACCTCTTTCTAGTTTGAAGTTTGCTGTACATTGCCAGGGAAGATTTGCATTTTTAATGTAAATCACTGAAGCAAAAAAAAGAAATAATTGTAAATTTCTGGAACAAAGCTAAAAAGAAATTTTTTGCTGTGGACCAGCAAAATGCCCTTATATAAGTAGGTCCTCCTTCACAGGTGGCTCTCAGTGCTAGAAGTGCCCTGGCCTGTGTTAAGTCTGTGTCATTGTCCTTAAGATGTGGGGCTACCAGGTAAGTGTCTAAACGGTATAATGTCATGGACTTCAGAGCCCCCAACACTATTTAGCTCCTGCTACAATGCCCAAGTCCTCAATTCCTGCTAAAAGGCAATTACTTAGCCTACAAGAAAAAAAAATATGAACCTCAGTAAGACAAAAATGAGTGCTGGAGTCATAAAGTCAGTAGAATGTACTACAAGTTTCATAAGCTGTGGATTGTCCAAAAATTACATGTTTTCACAGAAAAAACAGGTTATAAAACTGAAGATTGAGCATACCCCCATGTTGCATTGTATGTAACTGATGCATCTGATGTTGACAGGATGCTTGTGAGGGGAGGACAGGGACAGGGGCAGAGGGGGGTGGGCATGTGAGGATGTTGGGGTCACATAGCCAGCGTGTGTGAAAAGGCGTGTGAAGCTTGTGTGCATGCGTGTGAAGTCCTGGGCAAAACAGTGGACACCTGGACTTCCAGAACCTAAAAATTCGGTACTGAAGTCAAAAAAAAAAAAAAAAGAACTAGAAGGCTCTATTCCTTTGAACCCTCTTCCCCCAGTAAAACTTGATGATGTTTAGAAGCAAGGATTTTGGAGTCAGAATTAGTTTTAAACCCTAGCCCAACAATCACTGGCTGAGGGACCTTAGGTAAGTTATTTAACCTCTTGACATCACTTCCTCATCTGTAAAATAAGGATATTTCTTGGCATCCATGTAGGGCTGAGTACCATGTAACCAAGAGTAAGCAGTCAATAAATAGTCACTTTAAAAAAATTCTAGCCCATTTCTCAAAACTGATCCTAATAGGAAATTGCATATTGGCAACAAAATAACCTCCAACAAAGCAGTTTTTAAAATACATCCACATTCTATAGCTTCTTTATTTTTATCAGGTTATTTTGATGTGTGAGGGGGGAGGCATGGGGGTAGAGTGCGCAAAACAATTCTCGATTACCTGTGGCTCTTGGGACTAAGCACAGAGTGAAAACATGAAATCCCCAGGATGTTGTTCCCTTGGGGCTTCTACCAGCAAAACCTTTGCCAAGTGTTCTCCCATGTAAGCAAAGGAATTGACTAGAGCTTGCTGCCTCACTGAGCCTTGTCCCACCCTCTGACAAACGTGCTGGGAGGCTGAGGATTGGCCAACCCACCCAGCAGGACATGCGGCAAGAGCGCTGGGCAAGAGCTGAGTGCAGTTTGCCCTGTGTGGTTGGCGGCATGTTTGAGACTGCAAGCCTCTGTTCCTCTCTCGTCCTTAACATCTAAATCAGTCATAATGTTCAGCATTATGGGGTTTGGTTGCAACTATCAGAGATTTAGCAAGTAGCTACTTTGGAATTATAAAGCAAACATGCAGTATAAATATGAGGCCTGTTCCACTTTACAAATAATCTAGAGTGTTCCTTAAAACAATTAAAAAAGCAGTTTTGGAATCTTAGTCTCAGTCACCCAATGATTTCCTCTCCTGCTGCAAGAAAATGCTTGCTATATGTCAGAGACAACCACTAATTAATTATATAAGGCTATTGCAAAGTTGGTTATGTTCTTAAATATAAAAGCCTAATAGTATACAGCCCTCATTTTTGCCTTAAAAAAATTTTTTTTTCTTTTGTAACCTCCATAGCTTTTTCCTGCCAATGCTATTCCAGCTGTGGAGTTTCTGTTGCCTGAACAGTGTTAGAATTCTCACCGCGTCTAACGGCTGGCTTCCCTGTGAGAGTGGATAGGACTGTCTAAGCAATGCCTGGCTACTGCAAGAGGACCTCAGGCTCTATTAGAGAGCTTCTTGTGGTTATCATAGCTGATGCCACCAATGCCCTCTAGTATATTCATGGGCAGAGGAAACACGATCGTGGAATTCTTCTCGGCGGCGACCGTGGTCAATGTCTGCAGGTAGCGCAGCTGGAGGGCTACGGGGGACTCGGCCAGCACCATGGAGGCCGACTTCAGAGACTTGGAAGCATTCATTTCTCCTTCTGCTGCAAGGACCTAAAATAAAGGACAGAAATAAAATAGTTCAGGAACAAACGTTTACCACTGTGACCAGGGCTTTCCATTTCTGGGTGTGTACTGATACCTCTCTCCCTGGCCCCGGCATTGCACGTGTTTTATCTACTTACTTCTTTGGCAAGCATAGGAATTTCACATCCTAATGTGATTAGGGAAATTCAAGGAGTTTAGAGGAAGCGGAGAAAGATATTTTATAAATTAGAGGTCCCTGGATTTCATTTTCAAACCAGTATAAAAGCACTATCTTTAATTCAAATGAATACTTGGCATCTTACTCTACGAATGCTCTGGAAGCTCTTTGGAGCCCCACTGCTCACCGTGGTTGTTTTCAGAGAAAGCTGAAATTCAAGGCCTGTAACTGGCTTATTTTTTTTTTTTTTTGTAGTTTTTACTTATCATAAGAAATGTTTTTATTTTATTCTGTTGCCACCTTAGTCTCATTCTTACAAAGAATTGTTCTCTCAGCTCTTGATTACAAATAGTAGCAAGTGCCAGCCTTACAACACTCATGAGAAATCTCATAAGTGCTTCACTCTCTTTTCAGTTCTCAGACTGCCCAAGAATGCCCGGGGCAGGACGCAGCCGCCCCACCTGTGGGCATTGCTGCTGCCTGTGTGCCAAAGTGATCCCTCAACCTCATGGCCAAGTCCCTGCTTGGAAGCTGCTGGAGCTGAGCAGATAGATGAGATGTGAATAAGGAATGAGGGCAAAGAAACACCTCCATCAGCTCACCAGCTAGATTCCCAAGAGGACACACAGAGGCCTCTAATCTCAGTTGGTTTCTGATAGTTCAAGAAACCTATCCAAATAGACTTGAAAGCTGCAGATCCAACAGATTTAAGGACACTCGGGGCCAGGGTGCGCTTACATTTTGTAATTCTAATCTGAATTGTATTTGATCACCTCACTGCCCCCTTTTTTGGCAGGGAGGAGGGGGGACAGGATCTTGCTCTGTCGCCCTGTCTAGAGTGCCATGGCATCATCATAGCTCCCTGCAACCTCCAACTCCTAGGCTCAAGCCATCCTCCTGCCTCAGCCTCCTGAGTAGCTGGAACTACAGGCATGAGCCACCACACCTGGCTAATTTTTCTATTTTTGGTACAGACAGGGTCTTGTTCTTGCTCAGGCTGGTCTCAAACTCCTCAGTTCAAGCGATTATCCTCCCACCTCAGCCTGTCCCCCTCAACAGCCACCCCCCCATACCCCACGTGCTAGGATCATAGGTGTGGGCCACTGTGCCCACCTAATTAACCCTTTTTAATCCAGTAACATTTAATATATCAATACTAGAATAATGATGCTCAAACGACAGTCACCAAGCTGGCTACACCCACATCCCATCACCAGCTTTACAAAAATATACGTTCCTGAGCTCACCCACGAAGACCTTGCTTCAGTGGGTCTGAAACAAGGCTGGGAATTGATATTTCATTTTGCTATGTTAAATTCTCCATAGGGAATGCTGATGCGCAGCCAGAGTCGGCTCCCACTGTGCTAAGTTGCTCAGTGTGTTGCTGAACATCTCTAGCCCCGGGACCTACTACCAAGCTTCCTCAAGGTCCATTAAAGTTGCTCGTTACTTTTTAGTTCAGAAAAAATTCTCAGTAAACAAAATACAAATTTTTTTTTCTTAAAAAAATAATGGAAAGCCCCCAATCTTCCGTTCGAGCTCTGTCCTCATCTTGCCCCAACAGCAGCTGGCCCACCCTCCACGTGTGAACTGTTCGGCCCTTACCTTGGCCCTGGCTTCCCGCGTGGCCTCGGCCTCAGCCGCCATGGATCTTTGCAGCTGCTGGGGAATCCGGACATCTTTGATTTCCACTCGGGCCACCCGGATGCCCCACAGCTCGGTGGCATCATCCAGCAAAGTCTGTTTCCAAATCAGAAGAAAAGACTGATCAGAAGACAGGGGGTGTGGTGTGCATTTCTGACACGTTTTACACTTGCAAGATAAATTGTTCTTTTTTTTTCTTTTCTTTCTTTCTTTTTTGCACATGTACCATTTGGAGTGAGATAATTGGGGAGTAGACGTTAACATTCTCGCTGACCGCTTTCTGAAATTTAAATTGAATCTCACAAAGAATTCAGGAAGAAAATCTGACAGATCTTTTAGGGGATGTCTACCAGCAGGATCTACCCCCAAACCATCCCTTAGGAGGTATATGATATCCAGCTAAATGTGAGCAAATATCCCAAATTTGCTTGTCACTGATATGAAGCATTCAGCAATGTATGGGCTTCTCAGACAGACCTGGATTTTATCCCAGCTTTGCCCTTTGCAGCTATGACTCATTAGGCCAGTTTCTTAACTTCTCTGGTTCTGAGTCTTCTTACCTATAAAAGGTTTCCCTTCAGATTATCATGATATTTGGAGATAATACATACATCTCTCAGTGCCTAACAATGACTGATGAATATTATCATTATGGGTCCTTTTTGAGATATTATTTACCTTGCTATTTAATCTCTGCCCTGTGGCCAGTTTTAAACAAGTAGCAAGGCATATTGTTTAGAGCCCAGAAGCCACCTAAAGTCAAAGATATTCTTGTCCTTTGTAAAGCTTAAAACCATTGGAGACATCCTACTGGTTATTGTGGAGTGAAGACTACCTTGAGAAACAGTGAGACCAGAAGGGTAGTTCCCCCAAGGGAACGGGGGACAGAGATCTCTTCTCCCAGATGGTAAGTGATCCCTTGCCTTTCTGTGATGCTTGCAGGACCCCTGGGAGAAGATGAGACCTCACAAGAAGTCAGTGACCTGGCCATGAATGGGAAACATTTGAATTGTCAAATTCATGGGGCTTTTACAGACACTATGGGGAGTTATGCAGAGCCAATACTGCCTCATAAAAGCTTAGGGACTAGAAGAGAGAACAGGAAGGACCAAAGTTGAATTTCCTCCTAACTTACAAAAAGGGAGCTCAGGATCAAAATGTAACTGAACTAAGAAAATATAGAAGTGTGATTGTCTATAAACTAGCGTGCAAGAAACGAGATCAATACCTGCTACATCTTCAATACTATAGTTATCATTACTATTGATATCATCAGTGATACTGGTGGCTTGAGGTAAGAATTTCCAGAGATGGCAGGCCCATGTTGTCTCAAATGAATCCTCTTCTAACTTTCATACTCCACTTAAATGTGTGAATATATGGGTTGCCAGAGAAATGGCTGCACTTCAGAAGTAAGCTAAATTAAAAATAAATCTGATCTCCAACCTCTTCAGAAAAGGCTAAGGTATATGATGTTAATTCCTAATTTTGAATTCCAGAGAAAATGGATAAAGGGCACAAGTTCAACAACTCCCTTCTTCCACCCAGATATTTAAATCTATTCCTTGCGACAATAGGTAAATGAAATCCCAAACGGAAGCCCATCTCTCTAGAGCAGTTGTATGTGTGAGTGTGTGCAAATGTGCGCGTGGGAGCTGCTTTGAACTGCTATTGGAAAATCACTGATAATAAAATGAGTGAGTCAGAGGTCCAGGCTATCAGTTCTTGCTGTCTTTACCTGGATGCTATGGGCGATCTCCTCTCGTCCAGCTAAGATCTGGGACAAGGTCTGTGTCCCTAAGACATTTCTCAGAGTGGTCTGAGCCAGCAGAAACGTGGCTTGGTGGACGTCATTGACGTTAGCCACTGCCGAGACAGCACTATAGATTCTGTAATAGACCACTCCGTCCACCTGCGTAGTCACAGAGTCTCTGGTGAGGATCTGTAGAGCAAGAACAGGGCAAAATCACGTGTTGATGACTTTCACAGCTATTTTGTTAAGTGACAGCCAGCCCAAGAGCCCCCCTCCACAAAAGGAGAGCACTAGTAACAATCATGCTGCAGTCACCTTAAACCTGTTCCCCGACTGAGTAGAATACCTTCCTAGCTGATGCCAATTCCTCCAGAGGCAAAAGCCCTTGATTTGCTGTGGCGAGAACAGGCACTTTCATTTTAAAAGTAATAGTAGAACCCTTTTGGCATTTGGCTGTCTTCTGTCTTCTAAGCAGAGGTAGAATACTTATTGTTTCCCTGACGCCTATAATCTTTGTGGTTTTCAGTTTTTATCAGACTTCATGAAGCAGTGCCGCATAGAAAACATAGATGGCACCAGAGACCATGTTCTGTCTTGAAGTAATGCAAAGTCCATTTACCTTAATAGAAAGGCCCGTGCCAAAATTCAGCCCTCGCCCATGACTTCATTCGCGTTCGACAAAACCAAGGACCAGTAGTTTCAAGAGCCACCTAGGGCAACTCAAGTAGGTCTCTGGTGGTATTCAGGTTCAGCCTCCCCCTTGTAGTTAAAAAATATACTGTTAAATTGTGATCACCCATGTAGTAGGGAAGAAACAGGGTTTTTGTGTGTGTGTGTTTTTTTTTGAGACAGAGTCTCTCTTTGTTGCCCAGGCTAGAGTGAGTGCCGTGGCGTCAGCCTAGCTCACAGCAACCTCAACTCCTGGCTCAAGCAATCCCTGCCTCAGCCTCCTGAGTAGCTGGGACTACAGGCATGGCCACCATGCCCGCTAATTTTTTCTATATATTTTTTAGTTGGCAATTAATTTCTTTCTATTTTTAGTAGAGACGGGGTCTCACCCTTGCTCAGGCTGGTTTCAAACTCCTGAGGTTGAGCAATCCGCCCGCCTTGGCCTCCCAGAGTGCTAGGATTACAGGCGTGAGCCACCGTGCCCGGCCTAGAAACAGGTTTTATTTCTAGTACCATATCTTTAACCAGCATTACCTCTTGTGGAGGAATGTTGCAAGTCACTGTTCGGAGGTCAACTTTGACAAACACATCTATGCAGGGCAGGATCAGGATCAAACCTATGAAAAGAAGAAAATCGGTTTAAAATTTTGCCCTACCGAAAATAACTACAACAAATAGTCTCATTGCTATATGGTACATCATTGTCAGGAGGCTATATATTAATATATTTCTTAGATGATCTTCAATATGAACCCATACAACTTTGGGGAAAATGGTTTCTTCCTATTAGTGACTAAAGAAAAGTGGTTGCCTACGAATTAAAGTCTTTTGGTAAAAAGATAAAGATTCTTGTCATTAATTTTTCTATTTTATTTTTAAAACAAGCTAATTCTCTCCAAGCGTCTAATTTGACATTAATTAAAAAGGACATTTTGGAAATTAGTTTTCTTAAAATAAAGGTACCTATATCTAACATTCAAGTAATAGACTTTTGACCTTGAATATAGGTTGACTGCCAACATTCTCTGGCATCTTCCGTAGTACCGAAGGAATATTGAATTAAAATCTTCCCAGGGTCTCAGATTCCCCAAAACCAATGTATTGCAGAATTAACAGTTTCTTGATGGCCATGTTCTAGTTCAAGTACAATGGCATTCCCAGCTGTAAACACTGTTACTTCTCTCTGAGTTGTGAAGTACTGGGTTCAGCCCAGGCCGAGGAACAATAGGTATAAGAAGACTCTTTAGAGAACCCTGAAAATCCTTAACATCACCCTGGTGAATGTTCTTTCTCGACTTCAAGAATTTTAAAAATTGGAACCACAAGGCATGTCAGCAACATGGAGACCCTAATCCCTTTCCATTTTTCAAGAAGATGTTGTGTTGGTTTTTTTGTTTTCAGAACAGAAACAAATGTGGGGGTTGAACACTACTATAGGCTGGTAACATCAGTAGAAAATACTGCCAAGGTGCTTTTTCTTTTTGTTTCTAAACCTTCCTGAGACTTGCGGTATGAATTTCTACCCAATTTACTTCCATTTTTGGTGCCAGGTCACTGGTTAAGATCATGGCCCTTAGAACTAGAGAGAGCTAAGTCCCAGCCCTACCACTTAGTAGCCCTGGGACCAGGGAACTTTTCTTAGCTCTGGTTACTTAATATGTATAAGAGGGTAGTGAAGATCAAGCATGATTTAACATGATATTGAAATAAAGTACTAAACACAGTGTCAGGTCTATATCTATATCTAGTACTTATGAAGTAGAAGTTCTTATTATTAATACTTTATTATTAAAGAATAATTCTCCATTTACGAAAGTGGAGAGGTTTTCCATGAGCAACTTGGCTTGCTTCCCTCCGGTCCTTAAGACATTCTGAGGTAACTCGTTAACCCCAGAGACATGTATGACGAGAGTTGTTATCCTGGGACATTTAACAGCGAAATCTTCTGGGAAAAATTATTTAAAAGAGACAAATTTTTCTCTAGAGTCCTCTAAGTTATGGCTATTCTGCTTCCCTTGGATCCAACTTTATTTTAACTTCGGCCCACCAGATGGAACATAACCAGAAAATGGTTAACTTTGTTCTATGATGCCTCAGTTGGATGATTCTAACACTTTTGTTTTGCCAAACTTAATATCCATAATAAGTAATTCTTGCTCTCTTTTTCTTAAGTCCTTTATGAAATTAGACAAGTAAGATTACACTCAAAATGGCCAATCTTCTTCACAAGTTTTCCTTTTGAAGTTTCCCATATTTTTTTTATGTAACAGATATCTGAGTGCCTCCCTTGGTTTACAGTCAACAGTGCAGCACACAGAGCACTAGGGAAAGCATAAGAAAGTTCATGCCCCTAGAGAGCTCACAGTTGGAAAGAGAACAATTTATTTAAATAAATCATAAAGCAGAAAGCAAGTTATAACACTTGCTTTTACAATATAACTTGTTTTTCTTGTGCCTTCTAAGATGCTATTTTTGATAGCCCCTCCTTTTAAGAATATTAGAATTAACCACATGAAATTAGCATTTTTGTGAGTCAAAATAAATATTGGAAATTTCATATGGTTCAATGAAATATACATTAAGAGAAGTTATGAATATTAAATCAATATCTTGCTTCTAGGGAATGACATTCTCACCCCTACTCCTGGCCAAACACACCACAAACAACAAAATCCTTTTATAATACGACCAGTTTGGAATATTTTTCCTTCCAAGGTTGTTGATAATGGATGGAAATAGATTCTACATTAGGCATTAGAAAGCCTGAAAACTTATCTTTACCTCCAACTGCAAGGATAAATTTAGGTAACTCATCAAACCTATGCTGGCCTCAGATTCTTTATTTCCAAAACCAGGGGATTTGACAAAGGGAGCTGGACAATGGCCTCCAGTTCCATAGCTCTACTAATCTACTTGCCATGAGAGGCAACTACCTTTTGTGTTTCCATTATCCCTTTTCAATGAGAATCAAAAACCAGCTCCTTGCACACTCTCCCTAAGCGGCTCACTGTCCCCTCACTGCCCCGATATTCTCCTGGTGGCCTTGATAATAAGTGATGTTCCTTTGTTCACATTCACTGAACCCCTCATAGGCAGGGTTAAGAAACAGGTTCCCATTTCCAAACTCTCCAAACTTTCCCATTTCCAAACTGGTGGTCACTGCCATTAACTTTTACAATCGGGCAACTTCCTTCTACTGTACAGAAAGCCAAGAGCACCAGCTTCCCATGAATTTTCTTTGACCCTCAATAGGCAGCACCCAGAAAAATGTCAGAGGCAATAGCAGGGGTAACAGGTGCTCCTGGTCATTGGCAGGGGCAGCCAGCATCATACCTGGACCCTTGGCTTTGTCAGCTTGGATGCGTCCCAGTCGGAATACAACGGCACGTTCATACTCCTTAACCACCTAAGGGAGTAAGGGAGAGCTTTCAGTCTTCATGGAAGAACCCGTTCCTAGGAATAGCCCAATTCATTTCCCAGGGTATTACCTTTAAGCACATCCATATGGAGATGGGGAAGGTAATGATCATCAACAGGAAAGAAAGGGAAAACAGAATCCAGCCGCACACCCCAAGCCGTTTATTGTTGATGCCTAGGGAATGAGAAGGGAGCAAGTCTGTAATCGATGGGGCTGGTACACAAGCCTGCCAGCTGCATGGGTGAGGAAAGTGTCCAGACAGCGGCCACGCCGGATGTGACGGAGGGGGAAACCTGAATCCCTCCACACGCGTTAATGCAGCTAAACACACACACACACACACACACACACACACACACACACACACACACACACATTTATTCAGGTATTCAGGCTTTTAATTAAAATTGACCTGTCCTTTCCAAGAAAAGTCTCATAGCAATAAAAAGCGATCAGTATCACTACATTTATATAGGGCTGTCAGGATTTATTATTCTCAAAACACATGAAACAATGTTTCTCAAAATGTGATCTGTGGACCACCCCCCCCCCCAGAATCATCAGATTATCCGATTTCTGGGCTCGTGGCTTCTCCAGGAGAAGTTCAAAGCAACCTGTAAAGTAGGTAGGTAGGTACTATTATCCCCAGAGGGGAACAATGTGGCCCATGGGAAAACATTCTGAAGACACCTTGGGTGTGAGTCCCTGTTGCGAATTCTCTCACTTGCCAACTCTGTGGCCTTAGACAAGCTGCTCAGTCCGTCTGAGTTTCCAGTTCTTCATCTGGAGGATTGGGATAGAAGCTACCTACCTTTAAGGATTTGATGAGGATTAAATAAAATTACTTTTACACAGCTCTTGGCCCATACATTAACATTTACATTCGTAAATACATATTACTACTAGTATTCCTAGTTTACAGATGGATAGTTATTCCAGGGACTCATCAGACCTTGATATTTGACATTTCTGACTCTTCAATTTTGTTATATTGGCTCATTACATTAGATGGCTTCTTGCTAATCACACATTATGACAGCAGGGGCACTTGGGCTTAAGGAATTTTGCCTTGCAATAATATGGGACTGAGTTCAAATCCTGCCTGAAATTGTATAGCTTTAATCACATCAATTACATAATGTCTCAAGTCACAGGATTCTTGTTGTAAAACCTGCACATCTGGCTGACCCTTTTATTTTGGAACTATTAATATTCCCCATTTTACCTCCTTTTCAATCCTTGTTGCTTCTTGTTCCCTTCACCTTGATAACCAGCCCCATTCTCATGCCATGCACCCTTCAGCTGATTTGCATTCTCCATACACAAGCACTAGAACTAATTATATTTCCTAGGTAGCCCCAGGTCACCCAACAAACACCATGTCTGTCTCTACCCCAGTTAATGCCTTCACCATCCACCCTGCGGCCCAGGTTAGAGGCTCAAGTCATCACTGCCTCTTCCCTATCCTACCACAGAAGTCACGAAGCCTAAATGATACCACCTCAAACCCACCCCCACTTATACACTTCACTGCTGCTCATTCTTTGAGCCCTGAGCCAAATTTATGAATATTTAGGAGAGTTCTAGGCTTTCATTCTTACAAACAATGATCTGATGAATGTTTTAAATGTGTGCTCTTTCTTGTGCACTTGTGTAGGACAAATTTCTGGCAGTGGACATGTTAGGTCAAAGGGATCAGTGTTTACGATTTTGATAGATGGTAAATACCTGTCATAGTTTGGACCAACCTCTGCTCTTATAAACGGTGTATGTGAGCCTGTTCCCACATGTCCTGGCCTCATTGGATAATTTCAATCCTCTTAAGTGTTACATTCTGATAGGTGAAAAATACCTAAGCTTTAGATACATATTTAGCACAAAAAACTTTTGAGTACAAATGTCCTTTCATAGGCTCTAAGTACACAAAAAGATATATTCCAAAATATAAAGCCTTGCCTGCATACTCTGAAGTTTAATTTCCCCAAATATCACCTTCCAAAGCCTTGGATCCACCTTGAGGTGGGTCAGACTATCATTTTGCAAGATAGAGAGTTGGTGCATTCTCAGAGAATCTTTGTCGTATTTTCTGTATTAGTGCTTTTTTAGTATTAATAACACAGCCATATATATACATTCTCACTGAAAAAAAATCCAAACAATAAAACTAAAGTCCCTCTAATCATCCTATTCTCAGTTCCACTTTTATCTAGCGAGGGTCCATAGTTATGAGTTTGATGTACATCCTTATAGACCCATTCCTCTATATTTACATACATCTATCTACATTTAAAAAAATATGTGGCTTTGATTTGTAGATTTTATTTTGTGATTAATGGCATCACACTGTACCCAAGTTTCTATTTTTAACTTAATATATCTTGTGCATATTTCCATGTCATTACATACTTGTCCCCCTCATTTTTCTTAATTGTTGCATACTCTTCCATCCTAGATCTGTGTCTCAGTTTACTTATCATTCTCCTATTGGTCAACATGAGGGTTATTTACAATTTTGCCTTAACAAAACAAGTAATAACTGTGCTTGTATGTGTCTCTCTGGGTGAAATGCACTGTTATAAAATCTTGATACAAGTGTTAAGAAAGCAGCACAGTTCCTGCCACTTTTGGTGTGTTTCGTCCCTGCTGACACTGCAATATTTGGTATTCAGAAACCTTGGGGTGTTCTGGGCTGTGATTTTAGCGATGCAACACACACCAGCAGCTGGGACCCTGACAAGGATGCCAGCTCTACTTAATGCCCAGAGCCAAGCCCTAGACATTTCCAAAGTAGCCACACCCTTAATGCCAGCTTCATAAGCAAGTGTCTGTCACAGAGAAAATCACCCTGACCTTAGGAGCTCCCCCAGAGGCCCGTCAAACCCCTGCATCGTTACATGTACGCTGAGCGAGACAAGAGATGAGGATCTGATTAATCTTCCAAGATTTATACCTGATCCTGGGAATCCCTCACACCACTGTTGCTAGGAGAATCGGTGGAGCCTGGGGGTCTTATTAGCTGGCGGTTAAAGTGGGGCTGTGAGTGCAGTTGTCACCTTCCCTGAGGCTCCCCAGCTCAGCCTGGTGAGCGAGCTCAGCTGGGGGTGGGAGGCCCACTGAGTGCTGCTTTTGCAGCTTCCAACAGAGCAAATCTTTTGGGCAGCCTTTCCCTCTCCCCACCCCCTCCTACAGTTAGAACCAGGATGTTGTGCCTAGAACTGGATTTGAGGATTACGATTCTCCTGAAACGATATGCTGGGATTGTGTTAGAGCATCTTCAGAAATCTCCCACACTGCCTCTACTGCCACCTACACAAGGCACAGAGGGGATGATGGAAGGAAAAAGGGCTGCACAACTTCTTTGCTGGCCGCAAGTCCTGACCACATCTAATTATCCATGTTGACAAAATCCACAAATCCGTATTTTCTGTGGACAATTGTCATTTAACCATGAAGGCATCATTATATGCTTACTTCCTGGTAAAGAACTGGATTGTCCTGCCCCCAACAGATTGCCCCTGGTTTCTCCTTCATTCATCTAACAAATATTTTATCAGTTATATGCCAAACACTGTGCTGGAGCTGAGAATTCAAAGGAGAATGAGATGGAGAACTTGCCATCAAGGGTTCAAATCTGGGAGGGCGAAGAGACAACAGGGACAGGTGTGATAATGGGTTACGTTCTTGGCTGTGCTCACTTCTAAGAAGGCCACAGCCAGCAAAGTAAGTGAAGACCCCCTCCTGCATGTGGCTGTGACAAAGAACAGCAGAGTATCTAGTTGACACCTTCCTTTCAACCTGCAAAGGGAAAGGTGGAGCCACACACAGAGCCTGAGGCCCGCAGCCACTGACACTGGGAGCAGCACTTGGGAACTTCTGCTCCATGGACTTTAGAGATAACCAAGGCCAGCCCTTCATTTTGCAGCCAGAAAATCCCCTGGTTAGAGTTGTCATCATCATCTGAATCTCTTTAAGTAAGGTGGCACCCACAAGTTCCACAAACTGACAGTAACTCACGTCTACCTTTATTGATTTAGGCAGTGAGACAAAACCAAGCCTGGCAGGTAGAGACCTGCCCTTGGGCATTGTGCCTGGTGCTTAGATACAGCCCTTTGCATCAGAGGAGACTCAGCTACCCTTCAGGACCATGGGTAAACACGTAAGGCAAGACTGGTTACTTGTGTGAGGCCAGGGAGTAGGGGAGAAAATTTCAAATGGCTAGCCCTGCTTGAATGACATAACTGGAAATTAATTACAGCAAATAAAACAGCCTGGGTGAGTTGGTTGCTTATTTCTTAACTTTGGCTTGGTCAACAATATTTAAATATTAGATCGATGCTACCATAAAATATTTGACCGCAGATGTGTGTTACATTAGTAGTCGTTTCCTTTCTTAGCAGAAATAACTGTGTAGGTATTATGGTGTTATTTAAAGCCATCAAAATAGAAAGATATACATTACTCCTCAGGGAAATGAAGGTTAAAACCACAATGAGATGCCAACACACAGCTACCAGAATAGCAAACATCAAAGACTGATGATATCCCATTTTAGCAAGGTGATGGGGCAACTGGAGCTCTCAGATACGCTGTTGGAAGAGCAAATTGGTACAGTCATCTGAAAAACTATTTGGAAGTATCTCCTAAAACTCAACATACACCTACTTTATGACTCAGTATTCAATTTCTAAGTAATACTCAAGAAATGAGTGCTCATGACAGTGGAAAACATATTCAAGAATGTTACTGCAATTCTATTTATAAAAGTCAAGAAATAAAGTGTCACCCAAATCCGTCAAGAGTATAATGGATAAAATTGTGATAGATTCACACAAAGGAATATTACTCAGCAAGAAAAAAGGCAAACTGTCATATGCAAAATGCAGATGCATTTCATAAATATAATATTGGGCAAAATAAGCCAGACACAAGAGGACATTCTCTTTGATTCCACATGTAACAGTACATACGTACGGTATGATCCAACTTGTATGATTCCATTCAAGAACAAGTAAAATTATTATGTTTGAAGTAAGAGGAGCAGCTATCTCTGGGTAGTGGGGCTGTTGGTGGTTGGGCTTTTAACCAGATGGGATATGTGGGAGTCTTTTCAGGTGCTGGAAGAGTTCCATATGTTTATATGTGTGGAGATTACACAGGTGTACACACATTGAGCCTGTGGAAATAAGTGAAGACAAACCAAATCAGAAAAGCAAAGCCTATTTATTCTGAACCTGCTATATCAAGGGAGTCAGCCACCATTGCTTTGAGATTCAAATGCAGGCAGAGGAGCGAGAAATCTTTAGAGTGCAAAAAAGGGAAGGCTCAGTGTGCCCTGATGGGGCTGTTGGCATGCGGAGGCTGCAGGCAGGCTACCCAGGAGCCGGGCATCCCGCGGGATTGGTTAGTGGGGGCATATTTGGCTTTTGCTGGTTTGTCTTAAGTTGGCAACAAGGAGAAAATTAGGGAAGCTGCTAGTTATTCATAAAATCTTAGCTATTTGGGGATGATTCCTACAGCACTTATTATTTTGCTTCCTGGATTGTTACTAGAGATAACGATCTGCTTCCTGCAGGCTGTCTTCCTGCAAGCTGTCTTCCTGCAGGCTGTCTTCCTGGGTTGCTGATGGCAGATCACAGAGCTGGTTTCCTGAGCGGGTTGCTGCAAGTTGTGAGTCAAAGTTATATTTTTATGTACCATCTAGCCATTGCCTGTTCATATATATTCAGTCTTTCAAGCCAAACACTTAAGACTTGTACACTTTACTGTTTACACATTAAATGGGTTGAGCAATCCCTAATCTGAAAATCCAAAATCTGAAATGCTCTAAAATTCAAAACTTTTTGAGAGCCAACATGATGCTCAAAGGAAATGCTTATTGGAACACTGGGGATTTCAGATTTTTGGATTAGAGATGCTCAACTGGTAAGTGTCATACAGATATTACAAACTCTGGGGGGAAAAAAACCCAGAACACTGCTGGTCCCAAGCATTTCAGATAAGGAATACCCAACCTGTACCTTGATTAATAATTTAATAAAGACCAGAGTATGTGAGATCAGGCTAGTTGTGAGGATGGAAAATTCTCTGTTTCCCCGGCATTGGCAGGAAGAAGAGAGAGGGTAACCCTCAGCAGAGCTGGCCCGTGTGTGGACAGGGGCCGGAGCAGAGCAGGGGTGGAGAGGGCGGGCCCTGCACCTATTGGCCACACATTCTAATTCAGACGCCTCCACTTAACAGCAAGGTGACACTTCACTAGTCACCAAATCTGCTTAAATCCTAGTCCCCCCCCCCCCAGCATGATAATAATGACAGTGATAGCTAGTCATGAGGCTGAGATAAAATAATACACTTAAAGGAATGATTTGTGTTTCCAGAACAGGAAAGATCAGATGTTTCCCCGGGGGAAAATAGAAAGTGAGTGGAGTGAGGACCACCACCCTCCTCGGCTTCGGAATGAGCGTTAACAATCCTCTCTCTGCATTCATCTCCAATCCTGTGAAGGTACAGTCAGTAAAAGCAAACTTCAGCAACGCACTGGTTCTTTCTCTAGAGACTCAAGGACTTTGAGCAACAAGCATGAAATCCAAAGTAAAACCCTAGGGGTAAACATTATCTTTTCATCCCCTGTAATTCATCTTCCCTCCTGCCTTTTTCTCTAAAATATGCACACAGCTTGCATTAAGAAACACTTTACAGGCGAGTACAGAATTGCTGAAAAGAAAAATAGTGCTACTTAAAATATGATCTGGCAACTTCACCAGCCCCTGGAAGCTTGTTTAGATGAAAAAGCTCAACCCCTGCCCAGGCCTAAAGTACCAGAACTTGTAGGGGTAGGACTCAGGAATCTGTGTGTTAACAAGGTCTTCAGGAACATTCTTTTACATATTAATTTTGAGAAGAACATCTAAGATCTAGGTGATCCAGATTTCAATTCACCTTAACTCTTAAAAAACGAAAGAGAGAAAAAAAGGAGGTAGGAAAGAATGCCAAAAGCTAGTAAGTAGTGGTGTGCTAGTAAATGTCTAATAACTGGGTCTCAGTGGGGAAAGCCCTAACTCATAGCACTTCCACGGTGTCAATACTTCCTCTCACAGGTGAGTCTAATGTACCTTTGTGACATCAGGAGCTTGGAGTTGGGAAGAGATGCACACCAGCAAGAGGCTTGCAAATGCTAGTTGGGGCACACTGTTGCATCCGGCTTTTGCTGGAGGTGATAACAAGGACTCAGCAATTCATACATAGATCTCCCTCACCATTCGGAAACGAAAATGTCTGTACTGCTTAAGAGACTGAATAACATTGTCCTGTTAATGTATCCAATTTGGAGGTGAGCGAGGGCAAACTTATCCCCTAAATCTCAGAGAATGGTCCACCTAGTATGTCTTATAGACGCCAAAAGCATATGAAAGTACTGTCAAAAGCACAGGAAATCAGAAGTTGTAAAAGGTATGCCCCAGCTCTGTTCATTCTGAGATAGTGCAAGTTTTTCACCACATTAAAAAATCAAAACCAAGAAAGCTCCTGAGTGCTTTCAAATATTTCACTGATGATGCAACTTCATTCGTGCCATCCACCCAGCTGATGTCTTTCCCTGTTCAAATGGAAATGAACATGTCTCAGGAAACGTTATGTCTAAAATCACAATGAAGGGGACTCTTGACAAGACCTCCCACTTGCATTACCAAATGATACTTACTGCCTCCAGCATGTCAGTGTTGCTATGCCTACTTCAAGAGAAAAGTTTCTTTTCCAATTCAGGTAAATGTCTCTAAATGCATATTTTTTTCTTTGATAGATTAATAATGCCAAACGTGTTCTCTATTTCTTACTTGTACTATGGCTTCGTTGGCAACGGAAGGTACAGAGCACAGGTTAGCTCACACAGACTCACACACGTGTGCACGCACATGCACACCCACTGTCATTATCACTTTCTGGACAAGTTTTTAAACTCTCCAGGAGTCGGTTTTCTCATCTGTAAAATGACATTATAAGAGGACCTACCTCAGAGTTATTGTAAGATTTAAAACGATAATGCAAGCAAAATGCTTTGTAATACACAATTGTCATTAGTATTAAGCATGGCAATTGGTTCTTGGAAGCTAAGTTGTATTTTTCTCAACTTTTCTCTATTATTAAACATGGTACAGCTCAAGCCAAATCACAGCATCACCAGATGATATTTGAAGATGGAAAAAAGTCAGGCTCTTCAACACATCTTTGCTATTTAATGCCAAAAACATGAATTACAAAGATAAACAACACCAATTCTATCTAAAACTGAAGGAAAAAAGTAACTCATGGACCGATGTTCGAGAAGCAAACAAAACCAGCATAATCAGTGAATCTAAAAATCTTGGGCTCTAAATGAAATTGAAGCCAATTTCAGTAAGTATATCTCTCGCTCACTCTGTAACTCTCCATAATGCCACAACTTCTGTTTTGCCTAATAGATGTAAAACAAGCTTCAGACAGGAAAAAGGAACTTACCCACTAAATTCTCTTTATCTTGCTTCTCAGGCGTAGACACCCCAGAATCCATCTCATTCTTGGGAAGCTTTATACTTGGCATTAGATTTTTTGTTTTATGTATTATCTTTGGTGTGAGGTTCTGGTTAGGTGCATATATATTTAGGATTGTTTTATCTTCTTGTGAAATTGATCCTTTATCATTATGTAATGATCTTTTCTTTAAATGTTGTCAAAGTTTGTTTTATCTGATATAAAAATAGCTATTCCACTTTTGGTTTCCATTTGCATGGAATATTTTTTTCCACCCCTTTACCTTGAGACTATGCAACTCTTTTTAAGCTAAATGGGTTTGTTGAAGACAGCAGATGTTTGGGTTGTGGGTTTTTTTTTAATCCATTGCATCAATCTATAATTTTTAAGTGGGGTGTTTAGACCATTTATAATCAATGTTAATACTGATAAGTGAGATACTGTTCCAGTGTTCATGTTGATTGTTACCTAGTTGCTTTGCATTCTCTCTTCTCATTAGCACATGCAACATTTTTCAAGATAGACCATATATTAGGCAACAAAATAAGTTTCAGCAAGTTTTAAAAAATCAGAATCATAGCATGTCTCTTCTCAGACCACAGTGGAATAAAACTAATCAATTCTGTGAGGAACACTCAAAACTATATAAGTATGTGGAAATTAAACAACCTGGTGCTGAATGATCTTTGAATCAATGATGAAATCAAGATATAAATAAAAAAATTTTTGAATTGAATGACAATGGTGACACAAGCTACCCAGATCTCTGGGAAACAGTGAAAGTATTGCTAAGAGGAAATTTAATAGGACTAAATGCCTACATCAAAAAGACAAAAATATCACAAATTAACAACTTAATGTCACGTCTCAGGGAGCTAGAAAAACAAGAACAAACTAAACCCAAAGCTAGCAGAAGATAAGAAATAACAAAGATCAAGGAAGAACTAAATGAAATTTAAACCAAAAAAATAATAACAAAGGATTAATGAAATGAAAAGTTGGTTCTTTGAAAAGATAAACAAAATAGATCACTAGCTAGATTAACTACAAAAAGAAGAGAGAAGATTCAAATAAGCTCAGTTAGAAATCAAAAAAGATTGTATACGGCCATGCCACCCTGAATGCACCTGATCTTGTCTGATCCCAGAAGCTAAGCAGGGTTGGGCCTGGTTAGTACTTGGATGGGAAAAATAAAAAAAAGAAACATTACAACTGGTAAAAAAAGGAATATAAAAAAATCATCCAAGACTGCTATAAACATCTCTATGCACATAAACTAGAAAAACTAGAAGAAATAGGTAAGTTTTCGGAAACACAAAACCACCTAAGCTTGAATCAAGAAATAATAAAAACCCTGAAGGGACCAATAATGAGTAGTGAGATTGAATTAGTAATAAAACTACCCTCCCCTCAAAATCAAGGACTAGATGGAATGCACAACTGAATTCTACCAGACCTACAAAGAACTTGTACCTATCCTGCTGAAACTGTTCCATAACATCAAGGAGGAGGAATCTTCCCTAACTCATTCTACAAAGCCAGTATCACCCTGATACCAAAGCCAATAAGGACACAAGAAGAGAAAACTTCAGAACAATATCTCTCATGATAACAAAATACTAGCAAACTAAATACAACAGCACATCCAAAAAATAATTCACTATAATCAAGGAGGTTTCATTTCAGGGAATGGTGCTAGGAAAATTGGAGAGCCACATGCTAAGGAATAAAACTGTATCCTTATCTCTGGCCACACACAAAAATTAAATTAACTCAAGATGGATTAAAGACTTAAATGTAAGACCTGACACCATAAAAATTCTAGGAGAAAACGTACAAAAAGCTCTTCAGGACACTGGTCTAGGCAAAGAATTTATGACTAAGACCCTCAAAAGAAAATACAACAACAAAAGTACATAAATAGACCTTAAACTAAAAAGTTTCTGCATAGCAAAAGAATTAACCAACGGGCATCCTATGACAAGCTGATCCCTATAGTAGGGCTCAGGAAATGAAATATGAAGCATTTCAAGTTTCCTCCTTCTTCGTTTTAAAAGATAAACTATTAGGCCCATATCCTTAACATCTGTGGATACATTAATGGAATATGCTCCCCTTTATCATGGGGAAATGAACTAGGGGAATTGCTGAGGTGATCCAATGCAGATTTTTTCTCTGTGTGTTATACTTTCACTCTACCAATTCCACACATAGTGAAAGTCCTGAAATGAGGAGGGCTATGTTCTTGACATACAGGGCATCTGTCCCTAAATATGCCTATTTGCTTTTCCCTGAACGTTCATCTTAAGAGCACAAACTCTCTCTTGAGACAATCCATTCTAGCCTTAGAGCCTTTTCTTTCCTAAGCTCTGGGTTCAGAAACATTCTCCAGCCAGACATCATCACCATTCATTTCCTGCTAAGATGTACCCATGTGTTCCAGGACATTTGCTGCTTCCCTTAGAAAATACTCTCTTTTCTTAAATGACAGAGTATCTCTATTTCATTACTTTTCTCTGGTTTTCTCATATTATACATTCTAACTCATTCATCTCCATTTATTCAACTCTTGAATTCTCACATTGTAAATGAAAAATAAAGTCCCAGATCTGTAAGGAGTATTTATAGTGATAATCCCCAACTGTAACTCTGCTTAGACTCTCTACAGAATAATACACATGTTCAACTATCAGATGATTAAATCTTTACCTGGTTGTCCCTCCAATTAAAATATTCTACACATCGAAAGCAACTCTACTGAATAAAGGAATTGTCTATTATGGAAATTTGATGCATTTGAAGATAACATATACAACATATGTATGTGTATTACAATGTATGCATGTGTATATTACCACATGTGCATGTTAGTCTGGTATTAAAGTAAACACAGTAATATATACCCCCCATCACAACTTAACATTGCAATACCATTGTTGCTACTTGAGTATTCCACCTCAGGTCACCTCTGCATAGCCAATCCATAATTTTGTTGATTGTGTTCTTGCTTTTAAATAGTTGTTTTTTTTAAATCTTATGGTAACTCTAACAACATTTATTTAGTTTTGCTTGACTTGTGTAATATTCATGTACATTCTGTGGTGCTTTTGATTTCCATATTACGTTTCTAAAGTTCATCCACATTGTCATCTGAAGCTATCCTTTTCATCTTCAGTGCTATTTTAGTAATCATAGTATAATAGGCACAGTGTACTTATTTGGAATTTTTAGATTATTATAAATGATGTTACACGAATATTTTTGTACATGTCTCCTGATACATGTACATGCAAGAGTTATCTAGGCCCTAAATCAAGGTGTATACATCCAGAAATGGAATTGCTATTATTTTATGTTCAACTTTATAAGATTGTTGCATCCTTGCAGAGTTATTTTCTGAAGTGTTTGCATCAATTTAATCTTACTAGCAATTTACAAGTATTCCCTTTGGGTACGTAGCATGGATGCCACTTGATATGTTAGACCTTTTAGTATTTGACAATCTAGTCAGTGTAATTATTTCATTAATCATGAATTTAGATTTCCTGAATTTTAATAAGGCAAACAACTTTCCAGGGTATTTACAATTTTGTGGCCTCTCTTCTGTGATTGCTATACATGTCTTTGTTCACACTTTTTGGCCTTTTTCTTACTAATTATGGGTAGTCTTATTATGTATACGTGTATACACAGGTTGAGTGTCTTATCTGAATGCTTTCGACTAGAAAGGTTTCTGATTTTTTTTTTTCAGATTTTGGAATACTTGCACTATACATGAAGATGTCTTGAGAATGGGACCCAATCTACACAGTAAATTCATTTATGTTTATATACACTTTAAAACATGGGCTGAAGTAATTTATACAATATTTAATAATTTGTGCATGAAAAAATTTGTGTACATTAACATGTGGACAATCTGTGGTTGTTGGCATACCCATCGTTCCTCTCAATTATATGCTACAAATAAGCAATCATTTTCTTACACTTATTCACATATAAATACTTAACAGTAAAAAATATGACATACCATTAATACAGTAGAACAAATAAGCAGCGATGGTAGCATCACAGAATACCCGAACACTGTTAAACAGCAGCAGCAAGATGATGCAGGCTTTCTCATCATCCACCTACAATGCCGCATTTTTATTAAAAGGGCTACTATGCCTAGTATTTTTTTTTTTTAGATGAAAGAACATAAGAAGACAGTTGAGGGTCCAAACTGGGTCCTCTAGGGATAAGCAGGCATTCAGTTGGATGGCTTTTAAAAATGTTCCTCCAGAGTCATCTGTCTCATTCATGATGGTTTTGTCTTAAGTGTCTCTTTGATTTGTATAAACTGATCATTTTCTGCTCTAAATGCATGTTGCTCTACTTCCTGCATCACACATTTTTTTCATGCTGTCCTCTACAGACATATTTTCTGCAGTGCTAGCAATGTCAACTTTATCATCACCATTATGATATTACCTTGATTCGTAATCATTTTGATTTTCACAATTTTCAATGAATGAGCAACTGGAGCTCATCATGGATGTTAAACTTCTTCAAAATCCATTATTTCCAATTTACTGATGGACTCAAAGGTATATTTTTGATATGTAAAGAGGCCAGACATCTTTTTTTTTCCTCACTTGACATGCAGAATCCTTCAAAGTCACCCACTTGTTCATCATCATCAGCAACATAGTCGCAGGCTAGAGGTTGTGCAGCATCACAGCTGTGTCTTTTAGTCACTGGTTCCAAGCCATTGGCACAGTATATGGCATCCTTCATGCTAAACTCCTGAAAACCTTCCACACACACACATACATCTGTTTGCTGCTACTAGCCTGCTGGTCAAGAAAGTATTTTTATATTTACTCTTTATTGATCTAAGGATACCCTGTTCATTTGGAAGCAGTACAGTGGCATAAGCTATATTTTTTATGAGAATTTCAGCTGGAGGATGGGAATAGTTGTAGAAATAACAAATAAATCTTGCCATTATCATCCAGTTCAGCTTCCCTGCAGTCAGCACCAGCTGTTGGAAGAGAATGTTTGTGAAACCAGTAAGAAGCAATGTCCCT